CCGAATTTTTTTGCGGCCATTTTAGGTTTGCGATTTTATGCAAGCGGCGGTTTAAGAGTAAGTAAAAAAAGGGTTACAATTAGTAAAGGAGCAAAGTATGTATATATGGTTACAAATAGGAAGATTTCACAAGGAAATATTTTGTAGAAAATTTTAATCCATTAGCAATCTTACTAAAGGGTCGTTTTTACCCCTTTTTTTGGAGAGTCTGACTAAAATGGCATTCGGGAGGGCGAAAATAACTAAGTTATATTTATGAACAAAATTGGGCTATTCACAATGGTGTCGTAGGTGTGGAATTGTTGTATGTCAAGGACTTTAAAGCCCTAAATATCTAAATGTTTAGAGGACTTGAAACAAAAACCAACTATTTTTTAACACTGAGAAAATTCATAATGCGACTTTTATGGTCCTTGCGAACCCCCTTAATATATTTTTATGCCGTTCCCGTCATGCAATCATGTCAAACATAGGCCCCATTTATTGAACAATGAATTGAATTTCCGAGATAACGTCAGAACAATTAGAAATCAATATTGTTTTGATGTTTCGCTGTGAGATCTTTATAAATATCGTGTATATATCAACGGAAAAAAGTTCTTTTGTCGGTTTGAAGGTATGTAATTTGATTCAGCAAACTCCACAAATAAGATTTTCCACTTTTTTGTTTAGGAACCGAACCGGCCTAATGTACTTATGGTTTTATGAGAATTGCGTGCCTAAATGTATGTCGTATGTATTTATGTGTCAGTCTGTGAATGTGAAAATATTTGCTTAAGTCTACATACATGTGAGTACATTTATAAATGTTTATATAACGGTGTGCGTGTTCATAAGTCTCTGGGGGCAAAAACTGTAATCCACCAGCTAACAAAACAGATTTGAATACAAAAACAATAATAAAAACACTTATACATTTGCATTTTCAATTTCACTTAGAAGTATGCACACTGATGCATACATACATACATGCACGTTTATCTACATATATATGAACATATATGTGTATGTTTTTGCAACTCAATTCAGCAGATTGTTCCACAATTTCAAATCACACAACACAATCACTGCCAATACTTTGCCGCCAGTTAAGTTGTTGGATTTTCTATTTGATTGTGTTGTTTGCTCCGACGTCTTCCTTTTTTTGATATTTCGAATTTCGTGCGTATTTTTCGCCAATACTGGTTTAACTTTACAGCTCTTAAATGTGCATGCGACTGTGTTCACACACAAAATTACATTTGCATTTGTATTTTTTTGTTTGTTTTTTTTTGTCTATCGTCGCATGCACATCTGTAATCGTAATAAGCGGCAACCGCCTCGCCGCGTGCAATACACTTCAAGGCATTTTTCCACAGACACACTTTCATCTCCGTTCAGCTGTTTGCAGAGCTTTGTGTGAATAAACTCGTAAATATATGTATGTCGGTATGCAGGAGAGTCTAAGGTAAATGTTCATATTTTAGGTAAGCGTGCGTGCGTGTTTGGAATTTGCTTGAAACATACGAAATTGACGTATTTTTAAAACCGAAGTTTTTTCTGCAACGGATGCATTCAAGTGGAATTGCTAACGTTTCTCCAATATCTACGATGCTCATCCAATACTTATGCGTCTGAACACGTGTATGAACACACATGCACACACATGGGCGTAGCCTGGTAGGGGAAGGGGGTGCTCGAGCCCCCCCCCCCTCCTAACAATCAAGTTTTCCCTATATATACAAAAAATAGTATCCTGAAATGCCAGCTTAATAGGGTCTGATTTCAATTTTTTAAATTATATCTACAAAAAATTTTTGGATTTTTTTTTTTAGTTTTATTTTTTACTTGGCACATAACAGGGGTATTAATTTAACATCACATCGTTTTTAATAACAAAAAAAATATCTTATAACGTGATAAACTGTCGATAATGGGAAAAAATTATAAATTTAATACAAACTATTTTTCTAGGAAAATTATTTCTCTTTATTATTTAGATTTTTTTTATTGCTTGGAAAATAACACCGAATCGGGAACTTTTTTTTAACATTGTGTTCATAAGTGGTGAATACAACTCGAGTGCGCTGATTTCAGTAATCATAGCCATCCTGGCGCTAGTTTTAGAGTTATTCGCGTTTGAAATTTTCACCAAAAAGACACCAACAACACTTACTTTTTATATTTCAACCATTTACTCAACAATTGGATATAGTAAAAATTCAAAAATATATACAGTATATTTTGCTAGCTGCACGAACTTGTGCACCTAACCGAAAAAGGCACTTAAGCGAATTTTCTTTACTACTTCAATGAGGAAGGTATCCGAATCCCTATGAAACCAAATAATGGAGAAGCACTTATCACGTAGAAAATAATGCAAGCGATATTTTTTTCGAATGGTATCTTATTATCTATATAACTAGAAAAATTTATAGCCATTTCCGTTGTTCTGCGATATGAGTAAAATAAATAAAAGCTTGTAGAATTAGGTAATTGTAGGCCAGTGCAGGTAAACGTAATACTTTTTTTGATAATTGATACTAGTTGCACAATTTTTAAGGCAGCTATAGCCAATGTACAGGTATGTTGAATGCATCTATCGGAGCAGTTTCCTTATAAATGTTAAAAATAATGTCTCAGATGCGCATTTTGGGGTAGGTATCTTAAATGTGCACTTAAGCATAAAGGCAGCAAAGCAAAATATACTGTACTTTTATGTATGTATGTACTTATATATATTTTTAAACTTACATATATTTACATTTGATGCTGCTCGTCATTTTACCAAGTAATTTGATACCCACATTGCAATATTTCATTTATTTTATCACTTTAACTGAGTTGAAATTTTCAAATCGGTGGAAACCCTTCCAAAAACATTTTCAACCGTAATCTTTCTTAAACCTCTTTAATTTGATACCCAAATTGTAATATTTCATCTGTTTTATCAATTTAATTGAATTAAAAGCTTTCGAACAAGTGGCAAAACTCTTCAAAATTATTTTCGACTGTAAGCCTTCTTAATCTTCTTGTGCTTGATTCTCGTATTGTAATATTTAATTTATTCAGCGACTTCAAAAAAAGGAGGAGGTTATCAATTCGTCTGAATATATATATATATATATAAACGTTAACCGATTTTTATAATTTAAACGAAAGGTGGTACCTCAGAGATGGTTCCATACTAACTTGGTTTAGATCCGATCATTGGGTCATGAAGAAATTAACGGTACTCTATAATTTTTATATTAGAATTCACGTCGGTTTTTGGTTTTTGCTTAAAAATTACTTTTTACTTAATCAAAAATTTTCAAATAGGATGAACCCTCCAACTTTTTTTTTGTTATCCGATGTCGACTCCTCTCATCACGTGGGCATACCGCTAGGCACTATTTCATACCTGCAAAACATGACTTAAAGCACACTTCGTCGAGAAGGCGAATAAAAGATGATGGCCCAGGTGTAGGCCGCCCTAAAAAGCAGGCCCAGCTTTGATAAGAAATGGTCTGACGTCTGATTTGTCTAGTGACCGGAATTATAAAAGGTCACTGTTTGATGGCATGCCAGCAGAATGTGCCGGTCTGCCAATGACTTCTGCTGAAGCTCCACTGTCCTTCCCTATCGGGT